AGAGAGAGAGAGAGAGAGAGAGAGAGAGAGAGAGAGAGAGAGAGAGATGAAGTGATAGCGAAATCGCTCACCCGTCGTGATTGAAAGTTGCTCTTTGCCGCTCCAAATAACGTGTTGTCAGGCAGACAGCTCTGACAGCCGTTGCGGGCAATTCGAGAACCTCCGTGTTTTTGTTATCCGCAGGGGAGATGTCCATATATGCTGTCTGGGAAATCGTGGACACACAACAGGTAGTTTTCTTTGACGCTATGATTCCATTGCTAATCTGTCTTTGACTCTTTTCTCTGACGGAGATGGACTCGTTGTGTTGTATTTGGAAAAATAAAAAAAAAAAAAGAGTCAAACCTACCGCACTGCTTTTGCTCGGGAATAGCTGCTGCAGACTACGATTCACATCAAGCGGCACCCCTCTCTGAAAACGGCAGAATAGCACAGGAAGGGAAGCAAAGACGGTCTGCAAAGGCCTGCCGCCTTTTCCCGCAAGGCTACACCACCGTCTCAGCAGCAGGAACATACCAGCATCTCAGCATCAGCAGCACAGACAGGATCAGACGAAGAGTCGCGAGAGAACCTGCTTCTGGGCGAAAGAAACCGGTATTGGAGGGTTTTCACAACGGCAAACTTCGAAAGAACAGCGAGGGAGGGCGAGAGGAGAGAGCACCGGGGAGAACGAAAACGAAGGTGTTAGGCTGCACCCATTTGGCAGCATGAAGGTGCGAGACGGCATGGTACCATTTTTAATGCAAGCCCAGACTTATTACTAACGTCATGTGTCCAGTCTAACACTGCAGCACACTATTTGGACTGCAATTTTTCAAGTTCTCATCAGTGCTGTTGACCAGTGGACGTTTGCTTTGGCGTCATATTTTGAAGCTCCCTTCCCATCATCGGAGGCCCCATCTGTCAGTTGCTGGTGGCGAAAGTGGAGACGGCTAAGTTCCGTCGTCGATCCCAGACCAGATTCTAACGAAGGGCGGGCTGTGCTGGTGTTCACAGCAGTGAAGTATACACATGTAATGACGAACGGTGGCTGTGAAGCCCGTCCCACGACTTGCAGAGAAGTTCTGCTTCACCACAAGAACTACGATGACAGTCGGAGAGATGGCACCGGTCGGGGAGATGGCGCCGGTCGGAGAGATGGCACCGGGGTCCACAAATAAAGACAAGGACAAGAACGGCATGTTTTAATTCGATTTTTGCACCGGGGTCGGTGAGATCGCACCCGGCGCGGTCTCTCCAACCCCTAATCCAAGATTGAGATCCTTTTCAGCTGCCGGAATTAGGTACATACATGTGCGAACATTTTACATGTGGGGCGGTTTCAGCGGAGCGCCACTCCTGTATGTACGTATGCACGGTCGTGGTTCACGCGGGATGCCAGTTGATATCCTTTTTTTATTGGTGTGGTGTAGAAGTTGCCAACCGTACACTCAAATCAACCAAACACACAAACGCACAAGCCGGACCCTACCCCACCTTACACAAACACGAAACTATCATACTGCTGTGTACGTACTGGTATTCGTAGAGGTAGATCTAAGCGAAAGCGGGAGACAATTGAAACCGTGTGTGCCCGTACGTCAGATGGAAACAACATCGTTTGTTTGTCGTCACGCCATAACCAAACTCGCATCAAACACAAGACCACTCGCTGCATACAAAGCTGTTACGTACCAGCCTACGTTACCGTTACCGGTGTGCTTCCAACCAGCAACAACGGTACCTACACGTGTGGTCCTGTACTGATCAATAGCATTGTCAACTCGCGATGTGTAATAACTCCGTCTGCCCACGCTGGTATCGATACTATGGTACCGGTCGGGGAGACGGCACCGGGGTGCGTGCATACGACACCTATGTGTATTTCATTGGGGATCGCACCGGTCGGAGAAATCGCACCGGGGGTACCTTGAAAAAGCTAAACGAAATGATTTAGTTGCATTCCTGCACCGGGGTCGGAGAGATGGCACCGGTCGGAGAGATCGCACCGGGGTGCGATAAAAACCTCCCAGGAAAAATCACTAAAAACGATCACACACGGTGCCATCTCTCCGACTCTTACGGTACCTTGCAATAACATCACGTCCCAACGTTTTTTGCACAAAAGGGTGTCCGAGCTTTTGTCCTCAAGCAGTAGTCCCTCTGGGACCCGGTCGAACGGTTGCTGTTCGGTCGTTTATTTCATCCCCAACTCAGAAACGGGCGAGAAGGGTCTGGGAGGGACGGGGGCGAGGTGAACGAGCCCCTACTGTTCGGAAGCCTCCGTGGCTCTCGACAACGCTGAAGCTGGCAAGCGCGGCCTTCCTCGTCTGTGGCCCTTCCCTGGGCTTCGTTGTCGGGCCCGCCGCCGGTTTCATCGATACGTCAGCCTCTTCCTCGCTCACCCGCCGTGTTGTTGACACCAGCACCAGCGGCAGCAAAAGCTCGCGACGCCGATCCTTGCTTTCCGTCAAGAGCGGCAGATTGGACCCCAAGAACAATGTTACGCCGGCTAACGGCCTAGTAACCAGTTCCATGGAGAATATGAACAGCGGGGGGGGCGGCCACGCGCGGGAAGTGGGCCTACAGTCCGAAATTTTTGCATCCACATCAGGTTTTACTGTGAGTATTTACGTAGTCGTTGACCGTTAAAGATGTAATGGGGGTGGTGGTGGTCGTCGTCGTCATCGTGATAGGATGCATTTTGGTGGCATTGTTGCCTCTTCCCGAACCCATCCCAACCCAACCCGAGCCGAGGCGGCGGCTGGTGCGCCTTCTCTCAACATGGTATCATGAGGAACATGCCCTCGGTTCTGCTGGGGTGGTCGACTCGAAACAAGCCCTCCCTCCCCGGACATTCGGCTTGCCACGATGGCACGCTGCTCAGCCCCAACGAATTCCTTTGGGTTGCGCGTGTTTTCCATGTTGTTGTTTCATCATCACTGTGAAGCCAATGCCGCCGCCAGTTTCGTATTGCCCCTAGCTCATCCGAGGTTGTGTAGAGTTCGCCCCCCCTCTCTCGCTTTCTCCCTATCCCCTCTCCCTCCCTGTTTGTCACCACCATTTTTGTTTGCCTGCCTCCTTCTCTGTGTCTCGACCCCTGTGGCGTCTTTTCGCCTCTCGTTCTTCATCGCTTCAAAAACGAACAATTGATACGAACGAAGACCCTCGAGACGGCCCTTGCTGGATCACTGTTTTTTCGGAAGATCAACGGGGGGCGGGGGGGGGACAAGGACGGGAGGCGAGAGGAAGACCTCATCGGCCACTTCGATGCCTTGGAGCGTGTGGTTCTGACCGCCAACGCCAACCTTCAACGAGTCATCAGGTGTGGACCGCGATATTCCCACCCTCTTCCTTTTGCGCTGTTCTTGTTGCTGAGCTATTGCATTGGTAGACCCCGAGAATGAATCAGGTACGTAACACCTTTCGAGCGACTGTGTATCGTGCGGAGCTGATGCCCCTCGTCCCCCCCTCCGAAGTCCTCCACTCCATGATGCCCCCCTCTCTTCACCTCTCTCCGTTTAGGTAGTTTTTGTGGATTCGTTCCAGTCGAAACGTTGTGCAGCCACTCACTCGGATCGCAATGAAGGGGTCCGTCGAGCTATCCTTACATGCAAGCATATTTTGGAATCGAGGCAAGATGTAAACCAGGGCTGTAGCCAAAGCATAACTGACTAGGAGGGCGCTTCACCTTGGAGGACTACTTTCTGGCAACAGATATCCAGCGCTCGGTGCATGGAAAACGGCGCACGGATCGTATGACCCCGTCCCCCCTGTCTTCGCCTCCGTCCTGTGTGGCAGTTCCTACTACAACTCCCCGGTAACGGTAGACGTTATCTTCTGCACGGAGGTTGGGCCGGGCGTGTACGATCGGGAAGTGGAGATCTCCGTCCTGGGTCACGTGTTTTGTGTTGCTAAGAGCCTCGTGGTGAGCTCAAGTCGCGGTGCAATCGAGCGGATGGACCCTATTTTTTTCAATGGGGAAGGAAGTGTTCCTTGAGTTTTTCGTTCTCTAGGAGCATCACAATGGGTAGGCCTGGTGACCTACCTCTACGTGATCGAACACTACCTGTTTGTTTGTCATTTCCAAGCTCTGCACCGAGTCGTCCCTTAACAGTCAGCGCTGTGTTCATAAAATCTTCTCGCGGGAATGGACCAAGCGGTAGTTTGCGTTCGTCATGAGACTTTTGTTCAGTGGATGGTCTCTTCGTAAACCAGGAACGTCGGGGGCGTAACCCCACCACTATTACCACTTAAGGCAGGTCATCCAGCTTGACGGGGCACTTCGATAGCATCTACTGCAGACAGGCGAGATGGTTGTTGCGTTTGCTACCGCTTGCGCCACCCACGACGAGGAGGATTTGTGCGGATTGCCCGCTCCCGTGGGCGTGCCAAGCGGGTGTTAAAAAGTAAGGTCCGGCAATTTTTTCGTATCTGCATTGCTCTAACAAATGTTGACACGTTTGTGGCCATTCCCAGGACCAGTCTGAACCATTCAACGCATTCACTGGTAACTTTCACCCCAGTCGTTTCAAAAGAGCTCCGTTGTTTCATGTTGTGGTGGTCGTTTCTCTTTCTTTTGTTCGTCGCGAGTACTTCGTCAGGTAGCTGCTTCAACCGGATTTCCCCACAGACCTGCGTATCATTGATGGCCTACCTTGCATTTCCTCGCAAACAGACGGTCAATGTCCATCATGCTGGATCTCGCGTTTATCTCGTGTCAAACTTCTCGTGCTGATGTCGCCCCGTCGGCGGCTGCGTTTGCTGTGGTCGTGATGCTTGCGCTGAAACCACGAACCCACGTTAAGGTCGTGCACGACCCAGCGTGCGCGGAGGCGGTGAAGACTGGGAGGGTAGGCCTCGGCCAACTGTTCCATTCCCTGAACATCCTGCCGAGATTCGAGCTTCTCAACGCCGGCCGCCGGGTTGGGCGTTCTGCGAGATTCTCAGGAAATAGTGACACCATTGGTGGTGAAAAGGAGGGTGTGTGCACACGAGATGACGGAGGTTTCTGGCGACTATACGACCTCCGCAGCGGGCACGTCAGCTGCCGCATTTATGAAGAGTTCCCGCCTGACCTCTTCGGCCTCGAGCAAGGAAAACGAGTCGATTAGTAACAGCAGGCAACCAGTAAATGGATCCGAAAAGACTGCTCGGACCTCGACTGGATCAGTCTGGATCAGTTAGTCAGCGCTTGGCTTGGAGGAAGCGTGTGGCTATCGTGTTGTCATGGTGAACACTATTTACAATACACGGCCTACTCCGGAGGCATGGGCACGGGTGTGATCCGATTGTTAGGAGTCACCGGGAGCATTTGGTCAGTCAGATGCGGTTGAGCAGCGCCTGCCACCATTGTCTACTTGTACCATATAAGTTGGTGTGTCCTTGGTGGTACCTTTGTGACGCGCGCTCGTGCTTGGCCATTTTTTTTTGTCATTTTTACGTAGCTGCGACCCAAGGGTTGCTAGCCAACGACGGTCAGAATCATACGGTAAATACGATGGCGTCAATTGGTTTTGGTTGGGGCGTTCGTATCTCTGGCAAGGCAGGGTAATCACCAAGAATTTCCCTAGTGAAAGGGTGAACAGCGGCATTGTACCATGTTCCCCCCCAATCGCGATGCGCCCTCCTCCAAGCACACTTGGGGTGCAATGTATGTAGTCGTGAATTGCAGGAGTTGACTCGAATCCAATGTTTGCAGCGGTTATTGGCAGTTCGTCGCGACTTCATTAGATTGACTTGGATTCCCGCAGCGGCGGAGTTCGTCTGGTGTACAAGCAGGCCACTCAAGCTTGAAAGCTCTCACTCTGAGATTCGCCGGCGACAAGCCAGTCGAGAAACCGTTGGGTTTCCATAGAGGTTGACTCGGTGTTCGCGTCCAGTACCTGGGACAAAATACATTAATTCGCTCTTTGGAGCGAAATAAACTGCACATTGCGGTGGAAAACGATTGATTCGTGATCATACAAACACGTTTCTCCGACTGCACACGTCCGACTAGGGAAAGATACGGCTGGATCCTTCTTTCGAAAGGAGTCAAAGAGGCAGGCGCCGCGACAGGAGAAACTGTGGCCACCTAAGCAAAACACCGTATGTGACCATCTAAGCAACGCACAAGCACAGCAACCGTGTGGGGTTCCTCCTGTGTTGTTGTCGTTTCTCACATTAGCTCCATAGTCTAGTCCACAAAAATGGGGAGCCCGTGGTCGCAAAAACCCGGCACATACGACGCTGCGGGGAAACAAAACAAAAATAGGGGACAAACCACTCGGAAAGAGAAAACAAAATGATAGAAAAGAAAATAACAGGTACTGCACCGACCGTTCGAGAAACGAGCCCTCGGAAACCGATTAAAATAAAACAAAACAAAGATAGAGATAGAAAACGCTAGATCGGGAGGTGGAATAGTTTTTTGTTTAAGCACGTACCTGCAGTAGGCTCGTGCGTTGCTACCATTGGCCCGTTTCCTACTCAGCAGTATTACAATATATTGATTGAGGTGTGGAGGGCGCCAATCAATGTGATGCACTCCAAAAAAATGATTTATCTTGGAAAAAAGAAGACACCTCCACACGGACTCAAACCCATGACTCCGAGAGACAGAGAGGCAGAAGGACAGCCATGTCTCATTTTCACCGCCTCTCACCCAATGCTTCTCCGTTTTTTTTCGCACGTACGTACGTACTACGTGTGCTGTGAAGACAACAACAACAATAGCGTGTATCACGATCCCTCTAGAGCATTTTGTTGGAAACGAAAAGCACCCCTATAAGCTTCCTGCAATTGGGCCGCCAAATTCCCAAAAGTGGCTGTGG